AGCCATGTTTAAGGCTAATAGGAAGGTTTAAAGACAGAAGTCGTTAAAATCATCTATATTCACAAGAAGCAGTTAAGGCATACACAAGACAAAAAGATGGAAAATATAATGTCAGAAACAGTAAATGTGGAATGGAGATGAGGGAGTAAAAATGCAGGGTTATCAAAATGTGTTTGTATGTAAGAGATCAGCAACTTAAAATAATCATATATCTATCATGTGCACACGTACTTGGTTGTATCCAACTCTTTGTGACCCTGTGGACTGTAGCCTACCAGGTTCCTCTGTCCATGGAATTTTCCAGGCAAGAATACTGGAGCAGGTTGCCATTTCCTACTCCAGGATATCTTCCCCACCCAGGGATCAAACCCATGTCTCTTGTATCGTCTACACTGGCAGGCAGATTCTTTCCCACTGACAATACCTAGGAAGTCACAATCACATACATATGGTTATATATAAACCTTACAGAAACCAAAAAACCAAAAATCTATAATAGATACACAAATAGAATAGAAATAGAAAAAAGGAAAGAATCCAGACAAAACACTAAAAGTAGTCTTCAGATCACAAGAGAAGAGACAAAAGAAAACAATCCCAAAACAATTAACAAAGTGACATAAGTACATACCTTTCAATAATTTCTTTAAATGAGGACTTCCCTCATAGTCCCAGTGACTCTGAGCTCTTAATGCAGGGGGCCCAGGTTTGATTCCTGGTCAGGGAACTAGATCTTACATGCTGCGACTAAACCTTTGCATGCTGCAACTAAAGACCCTGCATGCCACAACTAAGATTGAAGATCCAGCATCTGCAACGAAGACCCAGTACAGCCAAGTAAATAAATAAATATTTTTAAAAATAATAATTACTTTAACTGTAGGTGAACTATATGCACCAGTCAAAAGACACAGAGTGGCTGAATGGGTACAAAACAGGACTCAAGTATATGTTGCCTATAAGAGACTTATATCAGATCTAAAGACACACAGCCTGAAAGCGAGAGGAAAGGAAAAAGTATTCCATGCAAATGGAAATCAAAAGAAAGCCAGGGTAATAATACTTATTTCAGACAAAATAGGCTTTAAAACAAAGACTATAACAAGAGACAAAGAAAGACATTACCTAATGATTAAGGGATCAGTTCCAAAAGAAGCCTAACAACTGTAAATGTTCATGCGACAAACATGGTAGTGGTGGTTTAGTTGCTAAGTCATCTCCAACTCTTGCATCCCCATAGACTGTAGCCCATTAGGCTCCTCTGTCCATGGGATTTCTCAGGTAAGAATATTGGACTGGGTTGACATTTCCTTCTCCAAGGGATCTTCCTTCTCTAGGAATCAAACTCAGGTCTCCTCCATTGCAGGCAGATTCTTTTACCACTGAGCCTGGTATCAGTATCTAAACCCATGATGCAAATGTTAGCAGACATAAAGGGAGAAGTTGACAGTAACACACAGAAATTGACTTTAACATCCCACTTACAGCAATGGACAGGTCATCCAGACAGAAAGCTGATAAAGAAACACAGGCTTAAAATGACACGTTAAAACAAAATGGCTTCGTATCAATAGAACATTCTATCCAAAAGCAGCAGACTATACAATCTTTTCAAATATACATGGAACATTCTCCAGGATAGATCACATACTAGGCCAAGTGCCCATCAATACATGATGCATAAAGAAGATGCATAAATGGATAAAGTACATGCATTATGGAATATTGTTATTTAGTCACTAAGTTGTGTCCTACTCTTTTTGTGATCCCATGGACTGTAGCCTGCAAGGCACCATTGTCCATAGGATTTTGACGGCAAGAACACTGAAGTGAGTTGCAACTTCCTTCTCCAGGGGATCTTCCCAACCCAGGGATCGAACCTGTGTCTCCTGCATTGTCAGGCAGATTCTTTACCACTGAGCCACCAGGGAAGCCCAGTGGAATATTACTCAGCCACTAAAAAGAATGGAACCTTGCCATTTGTGACAACATGGATGGACCTAGAAAGTATTACTCTAAATAAAACAAGTCAGACAAATACTGTGTGATTTCACTTATAGAACCAAAAAAAAAAAAAAAACAAACAAACATAACAAAACAGAAACAGAGTTATATTTACAGAATACAAACACACGGTCACCAGAGGGAAGGGGGAGAGAGTTGGGGAGAGGAAATTAATGGGTGAGGGAGAGTAACAGGTACAAACCTCAAGTTGCAAAATAAGTGAGTCACAGTTATGAAATGTACAGCGTGGGGAATATAGTCAGTAAAACTATGTAATATCTTTTTATGGTGACATATCATAGCCAGACTTATTGTGCTGATCATTTTGAAAAGTGTAGAAATAATGACTGAGCGACTTAACTTTCACTTTCATGTAAATTATATCTCAATAAAATGGAAGAAAAAATAAAATGGGTGTATTTTTATTGTATCTTAAATATACCTTAATAAATTTGACTTAAAAAGAATAAAGCATTCAATTGTTCCTCATTACTTCTGAATAAAGGAAAAAAACAGTAGTGTTACATACATGGTGCTTGATGACATGACCCCTTTCTATTTCTCCAGCCTTATTTCCAGCTAGAATCCCATCCACTTCACTCTAGTCATACTGAAATACTTGAGACTTCCTTGTCACTGTACTTTTTTCATTCTTTCATATCTTTGTAAATGTTATTCCAATTTCCTGGATTCCAAACCCCACCCTTTGCCATCTTGTAATTTGACTCACTCCTATTCCTCCTTCGAGATCAACTCAAGCCTCCTGAATTCTCCAGGCGGAACCCAGTGCCTCTCTGATGTGTCCTCTCAGTGTTCTGTATGTACCTGTGAGTGAGAGTAGCTCAGTCACGTCTGACTCTTTGTGACTCCACAGACTACATAGCCTGTCAGGCTCCCCTGTCCATGGACTTCTCCAGGCAATACTACTAGAGTGGGTAGCCACTCCCTTCTCCAGGGGATCTTCCCAACCCAGGGATCGACCCAGGTCTCCTGCATTGCAGGCAGATTCTTTACCATCTGAGCCACAGGGAAGCCTCAGAATACTGGAGTAGGTAGCCTATCCCTTCTCCAGGGGATCTTCCCAATCCAGGAATTGAACCAGGGTCTCCTGCACTGCAGGCAGATTTGTTACCAGCTGAGCTACTAGGGCGGAGAAGGCAGTGGCGCCACACTCCAGTACTCTTGCCTGTTAAATCTCATGGACGGAGGAGCCTGGTGGGCTGCAGTCCATGGGGTCGCTAAGAGTCGGACACGACTGAACGATTTCACTTTCACGCATTAGAGAAGGAAATGGCAACCCACTCCAGTGTCCTTGCCTGGAGAATCCCAGGGATGGGGGAGCCTGGTGGGCTGCCGTCTATGGGGTCGCACAGAGTCGGACATGACTGAAGCGACTTAGCAGCAGCAGCAGAACTACAAGGGAAGCCCATGCTGTGCATACCTGTAGTCTGATGTTTTCTCACTGTGGTTTCATGGCTAATATTCTTGACTGTCTCCCTTACTATGGTCTGAGCATCTTGTAACCAGAGTCTGCCTTATTACATTTTTAGTCCAGGATCAGAGTGACACAGCTTCTAAGACAGCATGAGCACCTGGGCTCCTCAAGAAGCCATCAAAAGAAACTTGATTCCACTGACTGACTGAGTTGACAGGTGGTCGGTAGCTGCACCCTATCTGTGGGGGCAGCGTGCCTTCAAACCACAGCTATTCACTCCTACATCTTCCTCTGTTCCACATAATACTCATTAATTGATTCATGTAACTTAATTGGATGTACACTTCTAAGAACATCTGTTTTAGTTCAACGTACACTCACTCATTCTTGAAGGTCTGACAGGCAGCTGTCACCAATAGGTGCCCAGGCAGAAATGAGGCAGCACTGCCCTCATGCTCAGAGATTCCACTTGATGACACAGTTGGAGCAGCTTCTTTCCACGACTGTGATTTATTTTCTTCACCTTTGCTGGAGCTCTAACAACAATCACCTCCCCCGCCCCCTTTCACCACCTGGCTGCTCCCCCAACGTCTCCCCAGCACCCAATCTGTTCTGTCAACACCGCCTCTAGCACACAAACCTGACTGATGAAGACTGACAGCCGACCTTACGTCATTTTCTCCAATGAAGGCGTTTTATATGCTACCATCATTCCTTGATCCTTTCCTCCTACTTTTGTTTTGGTCAGAATTCATTACAGAGTCATTACTTTTCTGGTCCTGTACAATGGTCACTAATGGTCTTTTTTAAAATTCTTTTTTTACAATTCTTTTAATTGCTTTACAATGTTGTGTTAGTTTCAGCTGTATGACAATGTGAATCAGCTATAAGTATGTATGTATATATATACACTTACATATATATATGTAAGGCTCTGTCTTGAGCCTCTCTCCCACCCACCCCCATCCCACCCCTCTAGCTCATCAATAGAGTACAGACCTGAGCTCCCTGCGCTATCACTGATGGTCTTTTTTTACTGTCTGACACTGAATGTCAACCCAGCAAAGGAAAGGCTGGTGAGTGACTTCACCAAGTCACTCAAAAGCAAGGGGATGAACCTCTAGAGAGGAGAGTAGAAGGTAGACGAGAGGGGAAAATATATTAAAGTTAGGTTTTTCAAATCCTGTTTTCAAAGGATTGAGTTGATCAACTGAATTGATCCTCTTTTTAAATCTTCCTTTTATGAGAAAGTTTCCTTTGTTCATTCATTCTTTCAGTCTGGCTAGAGCTCCCAGGAAAAGGCCAAGGGTGGCCTCATCTCCAGTGCAGTCCCGGGGTCTGAATCTAACAGGGACTCCAAGTCCCCTGAAACCACCCCCAGACTTACCTTGGAGAGTGATGTTTTGTGGACATTCAAACCTACCGAGAGCTTAAACATGGTTCTTCTGGGAGAGGGCCAGGAGACGGAAAGGCCATTATCAGCATTCTGTTCTCTGAAAAATCTCAGCCATGTGCACAAACAACCTAAACCTCACGGAGTGTCAGGAGGGGGATTCAGGGATTGGAATGTTTGCTCATATTTTCCTAAAATATCCAATGAACCATGAACCTAAACTCTATACCTGAGGCAAACTGGGAATTGCTATTTTAACAAAGCGCAGCTTAGAAAACAAACAGCACACAGTTTGCAACTGGGGCCAGCCCCAGAGAGACTTCTGGCAGCATTTTATGGGTGACTAACACTCAAGTTAAAATCAACACGGGTTTTCCAAACACAGCCTCTCTGAGGGTGATGGGTAGAATTTTCACCTGTGTGCCACGGCCCGCTTCAATGATGCTTCACCACGTGAGTTCTGGGAGGAAGTTTTTTCTGAGCACACAGCAGAACTCCTGAAATGCTAGTGAGTACTAGCATTGTCTGAGCTAGGCTCTCTCCTCTTGCTCTCCCGTCATACCTCTGGCAGAGAAGGACAAGAGAGAGAGTGTGTAACTTGAGACAGGAAACACACTTCTTAATTTCACAAACATGTGCGGGGCTCCTCCCTCCCGTGGGGCCACTAGGGAATACCATGATGACTAAACCGCCCTCCAATGAGGGCTGATAGGAAAACAAATAATTAAAATGATGTGGCCAAGTGCTGAATAAGGCTTATATGAAGGGCCGTGAGAACATAAAGAGGAATAATTAATTTGTCAGAGGCAGTCAAGGAAGGTTGTGTGCTGTTGTTCAATTGCTAAGTCATGTCTGACACTTTGCGACCCCATGGACAGTAGCACACCAGGCTAGCCTGTCCTTCACTATCTGCTGGACTTTGCTCAAACTAATATCCACTGAGTCAGTGATGCCATCCAAACATCTCATCCTCCATCGTCCCCTTCTCCTCCCACCTTCAATCTTTCCCAGCATCAGGGTCTTTTCCTATGAGTTGGCTCTTCAGCTTCAGCATCAGTCCTTCCAATGAATATTCAGGGTTGATTTCTTAGAGGGTGACTTTTGAGCTGGCGCCTTGAGAGGTGTGTCCAGGTGAGACAAGAAAAGAAAGACATTCCAGGAGGAGGGGATGACAGACACAAACGCCCCTAGAGGCACGGAAACCCCGCAGAAGTGTGGTGTGTCTGGGATGCAGATTAAGTGGAAGGAGACCGGGGAGGTACAAGACTGATTTGGGGATTTGGGGTCAGACATGAAGGTGTATTTGTATCTCACTAAAAGATTCGGACTTAATTCTCCGAGTGAAATGACAGAGGATTTTAAGCGTGGGCATGACTGATTCAATTTTAGAAAGACATACAAGGCAGCAAGGAAAATAGGACATGAGAGGGAAGGTCAGAGTCTCCCATCATAGATCAACTAAGGAAAAATGAAAGTCTGGAATAAGCTCATGGCTGTGGGAATGGAGACAGCAGCTGGGTGTGTGGCCTTTAGAGAGTGGAGTCTATAGAAATTGGTGGTTGATTATCCTGGGGTGGGGGTGGGGATATGGGGGTTCAAGGCGAGGCAGGAAGAAAGTCAAAGGGGATCACAAGGTTTCCCTACCCCAGCCAACTAAGTCGATGGTGATGGTGTTAACCTTTCTGGGAAATCAGACACAAGAGGCTGAAACACAAGAGAGAAGAAATTAGGTCCTGCCCATCCTGAATGTTTACTATCCAGTAACGGAATATGGAAAAGCCTAGGTGAAGGTAACTGCTTTCATTTCAACACAATTTTTCTTTTTTTAAAAAAATATTTATTTATTTATTTGGCTGCATGAGATCTTAGTCGTGGCACAAGGGATCTCTGGTGTGTCACGTGAGGTCTTTCACTGGCGTGTGGGCTCAACAGTGATGGTGTACAGGTTTAGTTGTGTGCCCTGTGGCCAGTGGGATCTTACTACCATGACCAGGGATCAAATCCAACTCTCCTGAAATGCAAGGTGCATTCCTGACCACTGGACCACCAGGGAAGTCCCTAGACACAGCTTTTCAATCAATTGCTACAAAAGGAACATCTCTTATATTTCGGTGGTCCTAGACACACGTTCCTTAGGGAGATAAATGGTTAGTGTTGATGTGAGGTCTTTCCTCGCCTACACGGTGCCCCCAGGGGTCACAGTAGTGAAGACCATGTGCTAGGCAGGAAGGACCTTGGTCTTCCTCGCTGTTTTCATGCTACTGGGAGCCTGGAGCATGCAAGCCCTGGGCAGAGCTGCCACGACAGGAGTTCAGGCCCTGCACCATCACCCTGAACACCCAGGAGGACCTGAGGTGCCATTAGGGGCAGAGTTGGCACTCGGCAAATGGGAAGGCAAAACGGAGGAAGAGGTGCTACACAGGCGACCCTGGGACCTCAGAATTACTCAGCCACTTCCTTCTCAGTCCAATTTGAGCAGCTGCAGAAAACAACAGCTCTGAGCTATAAGGCCGATTGTCACCCTGCATAATCAGTCACCATCGCTGACCACAGCCCGGGATAGCCTTGGCCGTGGGTGCAGAGATACTTCTGTCATCCTGGAGGCTTCAGTCTGAGGATATGAAATGTCAATGTCTAAATTCCGTAAGGAGGGAATTCCTGATGGTCCAGTGGTTAGGACATCCTGTTCTCACTGCTCAGGGCATGGGTTCAATCCTTGGTCAGAGAAGCAACATCCCACAAGCTCCCCAGCAAGGCCCTAACTAACAAACTAACTAAATAGATCAATTCATGGAGGGAAGCACAAAAAGTTCAAATCAGCGACGAGGACTCCCTTGGTGGTACAGTGGGTAAGAATCCACCTGCCTGTGCAGAGGACACAGGTTCAGTCCCAGTCTGGAAGGATTCCACATGCCGGGGAGCAACTGAGCCCGTTCGCCACAGCTACAAAGCCCAAGCACTCTGAAGCCTGCCCTCCGCAACAGGAGAAGCCACTACAGGGAGAAGCCCGCACACTGCATCCAAGAGTAGCCCCTGCTCCCTATTAGAGAATCCTGTGTGCAGCAACAAAAGCCCAGGGCAACCAAAAATAAAAGTTAGCTATTTAATTTTTTTAAAGAAAAACTGTGATGAAGTGGACAAGGACTAAAGGAATCTGGAAGGGGAGACGGCCATCAGAGTCTTCCTGAAAAGACAGGCTTCCTGAAAGCTGTGAACAGGTTACCGAGTGAGGAGATGGGAGGGCAGCCCATGAGTGAAAGCACGGGTGGATTCGCAGATCTGGAACAGATGGTCCACCTTCCTGGTAGAAGGCGAGGCTGGAAAGGTCGAGGGGCGTGAGATCCTGGAGGGCCTTGAGGAGGGGGCAGAGTAGCTAATGGGAAGTTCATTCAAGATTTGTGAACAAGGGCTTGGCATTGGGGAATGATTGCTTTAGCAGAAGTGTCTGAGATCTATAGGCTGGGGAGGCATGGGAGTCAAGATCAATTAGGGGATCACTGAGACACGGAGGAGGAATCTGACTTAACTCATTAAGTCAAGCATTGAGCCTGAAACATCTTTACATACCTACCTAAGATCAGAGTTCCTATTCCTTCTCTACAGTTGGCAAAGTGAAGCTCAGAGATTGCAGAAACACACTCTTGTAGGTGGCAAAGCCAAGGTTCACACTCCAGTCTGTTGGATTCCAAGCCCGCATTTCTAGGGGAGGTACTGATGAGAATGGAAATCTAACGCTCCCTGGCTGAGCATCAGATTCCCCTGTGGAGCTTCTCAAACTCTTGAAGCTGGGGCTGTACCCCAGACCAATTAAATCAGGACCTCCGAGAGTGGAATCCAGACATGAGTCTTTGTGCAAAGCTTCCCAGGTGAGCCCTGGTGCGACCGAGTTCTAGAGTATCACTGTTACAGGAGATGTTGCACGGGAAGGAGTGCTGGTAACAGTTGGCTAGCAAATGAGAGAATGGGAAGGGGGAAGAAGGTGACCTTAAGATCTTTAACTTGGATAAATTCAGAAAGGGATGCCAGGGTGGAAATGAGGAATTTATTTTCAGAGTCCTTGACCCTTAAGGTGTGACATCCGGCTGGAAACACCCAACAGATGCTTGACAAAGCGAGTCAGAGACTCCAAGGTCTCTAGAGCCAAGACCATACCAAGCTCAGCAGTTCAGTACCCAGTGGGTGGCAGGGCCAGCTCATCGCAGCGTGGAAGAGGCAATGGATAAATTTTCTGAAATTCTGCAAACCACTGGTGAATGCAGCCATCATTAAAAATCGAGTTATAAACACTCATAAGTAAATGATCTTAAAAGCAGCTGTAATAAATTCTCAAAGCTCTCCACTCTCTAGTTACTTTACCACAGTTTATTATTATCTGTGGTTTTCAAAGGATTTACATCTATTTTATCTGCATCGTGGGAAAATCATATAAAGGCATCCTAGGTGCATCTCTGCCCAACCCTTATCAACAGCAGCCATGTCAATGGTTTGGAGTCAGTTATGGAGAGGATTATTTGCATCATGAAAATTTACATTGCAGAAACTGCAAATTAGAACTACCCTCTCCCCAGAGAGTCAGCACACCACCACCCTGAACCATATAATGATCCCGGCAGAAAAATCTGTGTGTGAGTATGGGTCCAGTGCCTCATTAAAGTAAAACAAAGAGAATAATGTAGAAACTAAGACTCTATGGACACGGGGAAGAAATTAATGCTAAAAACAGTTTCTAATATTGACTGATATTTCCCCAAACACAAGCTTTTTGCGCTACTCAGGTCCTCTGAGATTGCTGCTATTCCAAATAAACCTGTTTCATTTAGCTCCATGAATAAGAAACTCCTGGCCAGAGTAGACATATTTTATATGCACACATAAAAATCCTCTGTGTGTATATAGCACTTTCCTTTTAAGGAACTCACAGCAATTACACACGTGCTCGTTAGTCCTCCGAACGGCCCTGGGGAGGTAGTTAGGTGCCAGAGGAAGTAGGAAGGAATGAGAAAACAAAACCTGTTAAATTAGAAAACAGGGCATTACGGAGCCTCAGTGCTGTAAACAATCGTTCTTCTCTCAGTGCAGGAAACCCTGGGATGTTAACGTGTCCTGATTAAGAAGGCTCTAGAATTGGACTCCCTTCCCTGGCATTTCTCCATGAGCATGACCAGCCTTTCACTCCTCGCGTCCTCCTTCTCCTGCTAATTTGCTCCTAACTCCTACCTGAGCCAGGGCTGGAGGTTGCAGTCCAAGCTTCCCTGGCTCCAGAGCCCCAGAGAGTTCACCAAAGCGCCGCAGGGGGAGAGATGGGCCGTGAGCCGGAGCAGCAGCCCCTGGTCCCAGGCGTTGTTCTCGCGAGACTTGCTGTCTCCGTGATGCCCATTCCCAGACTCGGAACCAGTGACGCCGTCGTCCCCTCTGCACCAGCAGCTTCATCCCACCAGGGATCCCGATGACTCTTCTGACTTCCCTTGTTGCCTTCCTGTGAGGTTCTGGACAGTTCTGAATCCATCCTTCGGGGTACATGTCAGCATAATGTTAACTCTGGGTTCTCTCCACGCACCCAGGATTTATCTGTCCATCCAGCAGAGTGTACATGGCTCCTGACGATAATGATTGGAGGAAAGATGAACTAAATTGCATGTGTGTGTGTGTGTGTGTGTGTGTGTGTATGTGTGTGAAACAGACAAACTGACAAAGGCGTAGAGACAAACTGACAAAGAAGAGAGGCAACGATTTACAGAGACTGGGGGAATTTCTGAACAGAGGAATTATTTTCTTTGGAGGTGTTTTGTTTCTGACTCAGAATTTTATTGTTTGTTGGTAACTGGTGGGAGGGCAGGTTTAGAAGATAAATCTTCCTGATGGGGAACCCGGGGCTCCACCCAAGCCAGACCACAGCATAACAGTGTCCCCCTTTAACAACTTCCTCTAGAGGCAACCCTGTGGGGGTGGGAGGAGGAGCGCTTTGGCTGGAGAGCTCTGCCTCTGAGAGCTTCTGTCTCTGGCCAAATATCTCTGGATATTCAGTGGTTGAGACCCAGTCAAGTCTGAAAGGGACTCTGGCTGATTCCCAACCAGGACTTCCTACTGGCCTCAAAGCTGGCAGTGGGTCTCCCACCAGCGCACTACTGGGCTCTATTCTCCCCAAAGTGTGGGCTTCTGAGGAGCTTCCTGAGACAGGAGGGTGCTCGGACCCAGCTTGAGTGGCCACACCAGGCACGCAACACAAACAACTCAGTTAAGTGAAGTAGCACGAGCGTGAGACGCAGGGGACCGGGTTTCGATTTCCTGGTTCCATCGCAGCCTCTGTGGAGCGAGTCCGCTCCTCTGAGATGTCAGTGTGTGAGCAGCTGCCGTCACTGATTCAACAGTCACACTGAGCATGCCCCCCGCCCAGCTCCAGATGCCAAGGTCAGCCTTGGGTTAGAGAAGCAAACAGCAAAACAGCCCTTGTGAACCAAGGCGTCAAACAGAGTATAGGACCGACTCTCCAGGGGCTTTTCTCTGTCCATGGGATTCTCCAGGCTAGAATACTGGAGTGGGTTGACAATTCTCTTCTCTGGGGGATCGTCCCAAGCCAGAGATCGAAGCCGGGTATCCTGCACTGCAGGCAGATTCTTCACCGTCTGAACCACCAGGGAAGCCCCTTTCTCATCCAACAGTCTCTAAATATTTTCTTAGTGGCCAGAGAGCTTCCTTAGATCTCCCAAGCTAATGAAATTCAGTTCCTACTAAGTAAAAGGAGTCGTATTTTGCTTGCTTGTTTGTGTTCTTTTGGGTTCCCGGACGTAACCACTTGGCACTCGCAATGTGGGTGTCTGATCTGGTCATAGAGCCTCGCCACAGCCCCTGGGGAGAGGTGAGTGTGGCAACGTCCGCCACACTCATAAACACTCATTAGGCTCCCGTCTGCTCCAGGGACCTGAGCTCTAAGTCAGAGGCACAGCCTAGTTGTTCAGAAGCTTCTAGAAAGCCTGCAGACTGCACATGGAAAGGACAAACAAACAACGGAGCAAACTGATCAACTGGGAGCTGTCAGGGCAACAAAGGGAATGTGAATACAGAACTGGGGAAGAGGTTCCCATTTGGGGGAATTCTCTGGTTGCCTAGAGGTTAGGATTCCAGGCTTTCGCTGCTATAGCCTGAGTTCAATTTCTGGTCAGGGAACTGGGGCCCCACAAACCATGTAGGAGCCCCTCCCAATTAAAAAGAAAAACAGAAAGAGGTTTCCATTTGGGAGAGTGGAGGAAAGAGGAGCATATGGACCATAGAACAGAGTCAGGGAGCCACTAGCTGTGTCTTGTTGGTCCGTGGCAGGGAAACGAGGGTAGAGAGGACTGGGCTTGGGGACCCAGGACCCCAAAAGCTTCAGCACATCAGGGAAAAGTCATAAAGCTGCGGTAAAGGCTCTCTAGCTCCTCACCCTGACAATGACAGTCTCCTTCCACACTAAACCCCCCACCACTGCCAACCCCTCTCTACACACCCTCTCCCCGACATCTTACATAAAAGCCTCCTATTGTATTAATATCAGGGGGAAAACGTGACTAAGGGTGAGTGTGTGCCCAGCGAAAAATAAAGCTAGGAAAAGAGTCTCAAATGGTCGCCCCCACCCCCAGGTTATCTTGGCTCGTTCCCCGATTCCGTCAGTTCACAGGCTCTGACATAAAAGGCAGGAAGTTACATACGCTAAACAAAGCTCCTTAGATGTCAGGAAATTAACCTGGGAAATCGGAGCCAAGAGCGATTAAAGGCGTTGCGCCCGGAGTTCAAAAACCACGATGGCGTTAGATCAAAAGCTGTTTTCTGGGCACCCCGGGCTTGGTTCTGCCAAACTGCACATCCCCATTCAGGGAAACCCAGCCACAGGGCCCACACGCTTGTGTGTTGTGTGTGTGTGTGTGTGTGTGTGTGTGTGTGTTTTCCTGCCGTGTGAGTTAATCATCACTCAGATCTATAGCTTTTGACTCTTACTGCCTTCAGACCTTGGATGCCCGCCCTTGGCAAGGCTGCCCACATTAGAGCAGCCGGCCTGCACAGGCTTCCTGATTAGGGAAGATCACACACCTAACCTCAGAGGGGGTCCAACCAGTGGCCCCAGAGGAAACAAAGAAAGCCCTTAAAAGGGGAGGAGGAAAGGCAGCCTGGGGATCCTGAACCTTCCAGCCAGGAAAACAAATGCCTTGTGGAGGGTGGAAAGATTGGACCAGAACAAGCAACAGAATTGTAAGGATCATTATTTATGTTCACAGTGATAATAACAGCTCTTTGAGCCTGAGTTTCATACTCTTTACAATTAAGGGGTTGGACTAAGTGTCCTTTATAACACCTTCTAGCTACGATGCCCTGGAATTCTTAAATAACTTTAACATTATACATCATAATGCAGTTGTCAAAGTGTTGTGCACAACAGCACCTCTTTGTATATCCAGCTATGGGTGTTAACCCCATTGTACAGAGGAGTAAACTGAGGCCCTATGAGGGGAAGTAGCTTGCCTAAAGCCACCTATCTGGTAGATAGCAGAGCCTGTAACAAACCTTCAGCCAGCAGCTCCTCCTGGTCCAGTGCTCTGGAAGGGCAATCGTGGGCGATAGCTTTGTCCTCCAAATGACAAAAGTATATTTACAATCACAAGCTCAAGATCAAAGTGTCACTATGTCTTCTTTTTATATTGGGAAGTGAGGGGATAAGGGGGAACCATTTAGTATTCCAGGTTTTTGGGAAGTGGAACACTCAGAGATGGCACCCCCATGATGACCTCATAATAGTGCACAACCCTCTTGACTCAACAGAGGTGAGGTTAGTTGCATTTGCCGGAGAGGAAAACAGTGAGAAAAACATTATTCATTCAACAATAACAGCAAGGACTTCCCTGGTGGTCCAGTGGTAAAGATTTTGCCTTCCAGTGCAGGGGGTGTGGATTCGATTCCTGGTCAGGGAGCTAAGATCCTACATGCTTTACCCCCTCCTTCACCCAATGGACTTGAGTGGGTTTCTCTTTCTGACAACCAAACCACCCCTGATTATAACAAACACATTATGGATTTTACTAAGATGCCCCATTCTCTAAGCCATTTACCAAGGGATAAACATACTGGGTATCAAATTCTACCATGTTGCATACCATGTACACTTTGTCCTTGGATGATTTATTTTTACAATTTTGACTACATACAAGCAACCACATGTAGCTGAAATAAAATATCTTCATGAGATCCAGTACTTTGATCTACAGGGCTTAGATGCAAAAAAAAAAAAAAAAGAGTAATTCCACTAGTGAGCATCCTCCACACCTGTGCCTCATCCATATCATGATGCGGTGTTGCTGCTCTCAAAGCTCTGTTCTGCAATCATTTTCTGAGGAAAATCCTCTGTTAAGAGGTTTTCTTCAAAACTCCAGATATGTTTCCAATGAGCAGCCATGTTTAAAAACAACCAGACTATATGATGATCTTTTACTTTTATCTAGTTTGTTTCACTTTTTCTGTCTCATATCCAGTGCTCCCGTTTCATTTAGTTTACGTTTTCTGATTTCTTTCTCCTTTTCTTGATGTTCTGTCTCCAGCTTTTATCAAGCATAGTAGAAAAGCTCTTGTATACATATAAATAGTATGTATAATATCTATTTTAGAAAATTATGAATTTTTGCCCAACTAAAAAGTTTATGACATTTTGATTCCACTTGTTTGACTTAGTATGAATAGAATGCTAGATTTCTAATTTAAAAAATTGATATGCAACAAGCAACAGAGATTTACTGTACAGCAAGAGGAACTATAGTCAATATCTTATAATAACCTATACTGGAAAATAATCTGAAAAATAATATATGTGTATATGTATAATTGAATCACCTTACTGTGAACCTGAAACATTGTAAGTCAACTATACGTCAAGAAAATGTAAATATTAAGGGAAAAAAAGAGGTTTTCTTGGATTGAAGAATTTGTGACAGCATAGGCTAAGTCCCTTAAAAAGTCCATAGGTCTACTACACATAGTTATTAACATATTTTTTAGAAACCTCTGTCTCTTCTACTATTAGCTCTTTGGAAGATGAGCTCCAAACACCTGCTAGAAGCAGGTATGTATTAACACATATATATTTCTGAGTTAATTCTCTCGTCAGATTCTCCCCCCAAAAGCACATCCAATAGATCGTATCATCTCAGTTGTATTAACCAGCTTAAGTCAAGTTACGCTGCAGTAACACACAACCTACAAAGCTCAGTGTTTACTGTAACACAGGTTTGATGCTCACCCATGTCACTGTGGGTCAGGTACAGCCCATCTTCACATATTCTTCATTCCAGGCTCCAATGACAGAGAGAAAGAGAGGTGGCACACCACGCGATGGCCCTTAAGGCATCTATGCAATAGTGACAAAATTATCCATACTCACTTTTGCAAGCCAGTGCAAATCCCACAGGCAAGCCGGACATCGATAGGGCAGGGAGGGCTACTCCTCCACAGGATGGATGGGTGCCAAAAATCACACAGCCATGCCTGGCACCATGGGACTAGAATGCAAAATCCTCCACCAGAGAGCAACACAACAATATCGCAAATACAAATACTAGGTATCACATCATTTCACAAAGAAACTGAGGTGAAGCAATTGCCTGACCCAATATCATGTTAGTGTTCAACTCGGTATTTGAAGAAAGTCTTTGGAACCCAGGGCTTCCCAGGTGGTGCAATGGTAAAGAATCTGCCTGCCAATTCAGGAGACCCAGGAGACAGGTTTGATCCCTGGATCAGGAAGATCCCCTGGAAAAGGAAACAGCAACCCACTCCAGTATTCTTGCCTGGAGAATTCCGTGGACAGAGGAGCCTGGTGGGCTACAGTTCATGGGGTCGCACAGAGTTGGACACGACTGAGCTTGTGCACATGCTTTCCTCTTTCGGACCCCGGGTGGAAGATGCAGTCCACTATAGCGGAGCTGTTCCGGGTCTTCCTCTGAAAGAGATGCCTCTCCAGGACCCGATCTGTACATTGTGCCACCCTCCAGAAAGGCTGACGTCAAGTTGTCACTCTACAACATTTGGCCCTTGAATGTTTTATTCATTAGGATCATATGGGAATCCCAGTGAGCCAAGGCAGACGAAATTAACAAGTGCCAATCAAGAAACAGACTCGGAGCCAACACTGTCTCAATATATGAAGCCATTTTAAAATGCTCTTGGTTTAACCAGACTGAAGATAGAATGAAGTGGTGGCTCTGGAGAAGGACAAGAAACTGACACCCTCTAGGATGGTGTCAGATGGCTCCCTCTGGCCACTGGTTGATTGCATCCTGCAGAAGCTGGCATGAAGGGTCTGGGAAGCCCAAGGACTGATGCTTCGGAAGAGCCTGGCACCAGTGATTTACAAAGGGCCTTCACAGTGACCTGGTCAACATCTCCAGGGTTAATTATTCCCATGACTACCAACAGCACCCATCCCAGTTGGGTACCTGGTCATCTATGGTTAATGATCTCTCTGGTCAGTGAATAGTTTTGCTCAAGGTAAGAACCTGACTGCACCCAAGTCCTCAAGTCTAGAAAACGAGTCAGAATTCACTGTTGTTTTTTTTTTCCTGGACTATTTAATTTCCTTTAAGTTGCATAGGTAACACTTTTGGTTTTCAAATGGTGCAAGTTACAAAGAGTTCAGCGTTACCATGGTTAGTAACAGAGTCCCTATGAAATACCTGTTCCCCATCTCTGCCAATTACATTTTTAAGGAGATTGGGCTTGATTAAAAAGCACACTGTTAGCCGTGAATCAAACCTGCCCAGGATATATCGGGTTGCATTGTGTTATGAAACACACACCATACTGGATGTTCTTCCAAAAGAATGTGTACAGAAAAGGCTGCCCTTCTGCAAGACTGAGAGCTCCTTCCCGGGCCACACCACTCTCCACCTTCCGTCCAAACACCCAGCAAGCTGAAGCATGTAGGCGTCCCTGGCTGAGCCCTGTATGGCCTCAGGACACCCTATACCACCTCTCCTGTGTTCTCCTGTGTGTGAGAGAGCAGTGCCAAGGCCAGCGCACTAGGAAGGACAAAGTGAGAAGGCTCCATGTAGCAATTTCCACAGTATCTCACTACTCTGTTCTGCTGATTGCTTACCAATCAGCATAAGTCCTTATAGAGACTTCAAGAAACTCAAAAGGCAGGCTGGAAATTGCAGGCCTCAGTGTGGCAGATGCTATGCATTCATGAACATGTCAAAAACAGCACTTCTACACTCCATTCATAGGCCTGACTTGTGTCTATGGAATCAGACACTGGGTAGTTCAAAGCCAAGTCTCTGAAAACATCCTGCAGAAACCCCAAGATTGCAATCTCAAAGTCACTATAATTTCACTACTATGCTGGTAATAGGCTAATAGCCCACAGGCAAAAGGATATTAAAAAGATTATATTAATGTTGGAGTTGGGTATGGGATTATGAAGGGCCTTGCAAAGCTAAGATAAACCAAGAGCATTTATCAGCCAACTCAGAAAAAAATTGATTTGCAACCAGAGTTCTTCCCCAGTTTGGGCAGCAATAGCATTCTTGGGACACTTGTTTTACACATGTTTATTTTGAACCCCATGTGTTAGACACTAAGCTGGGGTCAACACAATACAGGGCTGGGCGAGCTGGGGTCCTGACACGGGGAGGCTGACGGGCTAGTGGCTGAGATAGGACGCCGCACCAACAAGCGAGATGACACCCACTAGGAGGAAAGTGCCACAACAAAGGTGTAGATGAAGCATTTTAGGAAGTGCAGAGGGAGAGAGTACTCTCCCACACAGAAGAGACCATGACTTTATGGAAGACAGGCATTCAGCCAAGTCTTCTGAAGGGGAAAGGGTGCAGGCGGTGCAGTTGGGGAGGAAGAGAATTCATTAGCTGCCTCCACGGGTGTTATGGAGGCTTTGGGGTACCGGCCCGACAACCTCAGTGGGTGGGGCAGCTGGGGCTTCGGTTGCTCGTGGCTCCAGGCTGTTCCCCATCTCTGAGGTTTGCCTTTGGCTGACCAGAACACCCCACCAGAGAGATACCCACACCCTGCCTCTTGGGGACTGGTAGATACAGGGGCACCAAAGGCCAGCCCCCCCCCAACCTCAGCATGGGGACAATTCTGTACCCCATGTCCCAGAGGGTCAGGCTGAGGCTTGTCTTTGCTGGCTTCTCTGCCCTCTCCTACATTCCTTCCTTGCTCTCAGTAAATGGCAGGCATCTGAATCTCTATCTCAGGCCTCACTTCTAGGGAACCCAGCCTAAGCCTCTGACTTTCCCTCTTGCGTCTGCACAGATGCACCAAGGAATTCTTGGGAAAGCTTTCCATGTCCCCATAAGCCGTCCATTACACCCCTGTTCCTTAGTTTCCTCTGTTCCATCCAGAACAGCACCCTATTTCCACACTGCCTGTCTTCTGTTCTTTCTCTTGCTAAGAGGGGCTCCCCACCACTTATTCCTTTCTTTCAAAGTCTAACTCAATTTTACTTATTCCAAGCCTTGCCAACTAGACTCTGTGCCTACCCCTTATGTGTATATTTTCTTTAGCACTTAAGTCGTATGTCAGAACATGTACCTATTTTTATTTTTTAGACAATTAGATCCAAACTTAATCATCCCAATAGATGTTGTCACTTTCAAAGTACTCATCTTGGGAGATTAATCACTTCCTCCAATACAGCCACTGCCCATTCTAATTTGGGGATTCGTCTCTTGGGTTTGACTTCAGCATATGTATTT